TTTAGACGGTGTTTAGTCTTAAATAAGACTCGACTATGAATATCGACCTTCATGCCCGCCTGCGCTTCATGCGAAATTTGGAACGTAAGATGCTAATACGGCTCTCTGATTGGTCCATAACATCTCAAGCATTAGTTTAAAATCATCTTGAATCTTGAGCAACATCTATGGATTCCGCCCATACAATCGGAGTTTTCTTCCACCATAGTCTCTATTCTTCACAGATGAAGAGAAACAGTAAGAGACCTATCCTTTTTAGCTGAACTTCATGCACGGTTCATATTTTCTCTTTTTCTCTCTCCTATGTTTAAAGAAAAGGAAGAAAGATAACTGTGCAAAAACTTTATTAAAAAGAATAGACCTAAGGTTCATGTGGATTCACGATACGTTTGCAATGATTAAAAACACGACGATTTTCTTGTATAATAGATTTTTCATTTTCACAAGAAAACGCATCGATTGATATATTTTTATCAAAATTTGAGTGGACCGGAGTCTTCTTAACATTTATTGAATATTCAAGTTTATTCTCCTCACATTCGACTATAAATGGTCAATTTGTTATAGCTCTTTTCTGTGCAAAATAATTACAGCGGCTATTTTCTTGATTCAACCAGAAATCTAGTTATTTACAGAATAATCAAAGTTGATTGAAGTTCGCATATAAGGATCTTTTGTTCTACTAATTCTCTTTCGATTTTGATTTGTTCAGTTGTTGACAGTTGTATTGCTTATCACTGATTACAGATTAGCACTATTTTACTAACAATTGCAGACACTCATATATGATAAAGATCTGCTTGAAACGGGATAAAGAGATACCAAGAAACTAAACAAAGCATTCGCAAAATAAGTGATCCCGTGAAGCAATATGTGCTTGAATCTACGTAGCTGGCCAGTCTTCAGTTCACTGGAGCCAAAATTTATTCCCGAGGTTGACATGGTATTTCGTAATTTATTTTGTTCTCTTCTCTTGTGTATTAATCTCTTGGCAGTATTATTACTTACCGAACGTCTCAAAACAGGTAAATTGGGTAAAAGTGCCTTAATTGTAACAAAAGACAAGAAAGTATATGACCTGATGAATGACAATCTCCATGCTTTGGAGAGCAGAGACAAAAGCTCTTCTATGCTATATCTGAAGGAGATTAAGGATTTGTGTAGAAAAGATATAAAAACGTTTGCGTATGGCAGGGGATCTCACATGTTGGCACTCACGAATGGAGGAGAGGTAAAAAGTTGTTAGGAAATTATACATTGGAATGAACTTTTAATTGATGTAACATGCTTCACTGGAATATATGTATGTAATTCTATTCATTCTCTTTGAACTAATATCTATATAATTTTCATGAAATATATGAATTTGTTAAATGTTAAGTTTCATTCTGGTAATCTTGTGAAAAATAAGTAATAAAATAGTTAATGTCTTTCATAGCAAAAAATATAAAAGCATGACTTTATGAATGTATGCTTTATCACAGATAATATCACTATGATGATTGTGAAGCTTTGATAAAAATTATATCTTATTGTGTGGCACTGCTATGACACACACACACACACACGTACACACATACACACGCGCGCGCGCGCGCGCACATACGTAGCTTAAAGTAACCATGCTAG